GTTTATGAGTGTAACAAGCGCTGCAAATGTGACCCAAACATGTGCACAAATCGCTTGGTGCAGCATGGACTACAGGTTCGACTACAGCTGTTTAAGACACAGAACAAGGGCTGGGGTATCCGCTGCTTGGATGACATTGCCAAAGGCTCTTTTGTCTGTATTTATGCAGGTTAGTGATGAAGGGGGGGGGGTTATTGCTCCATAGGGTTTGGGACATGGTAAGTCAGAGAAAAGTAGAATATAGCAAAACGCTAGTGGGCATGGTAGCACGTGTCTATAATCTAAGAACTCAGAAAATGAGGGTGGAAAATTTGAGAGTTGGGAGTTGCCTGGGCTATATACCCAGACTCTGCCTCAAGAAACATAATGTTTGATGGGCATCAGTGGTACACACCTTTAATCCCAGCACTTGGGAGACAGGTCTACAGAGCTAGGTCCAGGACAGCCAGCACTACACAGCGAAATCCTGTCTTGAAAAAACAAAAACCAAACAAACAAAAAGCGTAGTGTTTGAGAAGTAAAAATGTAGCTCTGGAGAACAGCATATGCTTAGTTTGCAAGATACACTTGATTCAGTCCTAGCACTGCGAAAAAGAAAGAATAAATGAACTGAGAATGAGAGGAAACAGGAATGTCTCCTATAAAGACAGGATAAGTGAGGCAGGCGGTGGTGGTACACGACACGATAAGTGATGTGCCTAGTAGATGGACCAAGGAGGGTTAAAGTGCTTCATAGAAAACTGGTAAAGGGGATCAAGTGTTGGCTGTTGTTGTTTCTTCAGTGAGAGACCTCATCTAGATCACATTGTATTGCTTTTTTCTCCCAGAGATATTTAGCATAGAAGGATGTGTCAGAGGTAAACAAAAAATGGGAAGGTCAAAGGACAAAGTGACAGATTGTAGTGACAGTGTTCTCATGGTGAAGACAAAGGTGGCATCCAAAGTGAGCACATAATGCAAGATTTACCATGTGGATAGTGTTACTGATGAAGACCTTTCAATTCTTTTCATTCTCAGGCAAAATCCTGACAGATGATTTTGCAGACAAAGAAGGGCTGGAGATGGGTGATGAGTACTTTGCAAATCTGGACCACATTGAAAGTGTAGAAAACTTTAAGGAAGGATATGAGAGTGATGTGGCCAGTTCCTCTGACAGCAGTGGGGTAGACATGAAGGACCAGGAGGATGGCAACAGTGGTTCAGAGGATCCGGAAGAATCCAATGACGACAGCTCTGATGATAATTTCTGTAAGGATGAGGACTTCAGCACCAGTTCCGTGTGGCGTAGCTATGCTACCCGGAGACAGACTCGGGGTCAGAAAGAGAATGGACTGTCTGAGATGGCTTCCAAGGACTCCCGCCCCCCCAGACCTCGGGCCTCCACATGTTCCTACCCCTCCTTCAGTATCTGTAGGGGGATGCAAGCCACCTTCATCCGAAGAGACCCCCAAGAACAAGGTGGCCTCGTGGTTGAGCTGCAATAGTGTCAGTGAAGGTGGATTTGCTGATTCTGACAGCCGTTCTTCCTTCAAAACTAGTGAGGGTGGTGATGGCCGGGCTGGGGCAGGCCGGGCAGAGGCTGAGAAGGCCTCTACCTCAGGATTGAGCCTCAAGGATGAAGGAGACAATAAGCAGACTAAGAAAGAGGTAAGAAGTTGCTGAACACTCTTGAAAGCAGCAACCTCCCCCCCCCCCAAAAAAAAACCTGTACTTTAGTGCATGGTTCTGAATGGTGACAGCCATTCTAGCTGGCAAGAGTCAAGGAGTGTGTGCCAGGTTAACAGCAATGCCCTTTAACGTTGGTGCAAATGGAGATTGAGGTGGGGAGGTTACCTTGTTCAAGACTCCATCTCAAAACCAAAGAAATAAGTGATTTGAAGTATGTAGGGTTTGTTGCTTTTGTTTCATTTTGTTTTTAGATAGTCACAGTAAAATCCATGTTGATTTAAAATTTGCTATTATATCTTTGTTGAAACATTCCCCATTACAGGTAGTAAACCTGTTGGGTCCATGGAACACTCTGCTCACAATACTGTTCCTTGTGTTCCATTATTGGGGAAGGTTAAAGGACCTGCCCAGGGAAGTATACTGGTGAGAGTATGATTATCGATGTCAGGCTACAAAATGATTCCCCACATCACTCCTTTTTAGTGTGCCTCTTATTGACTTATGTTAATGTTGTCTTTGGGGATCTTTTGTTACCTTAGACCTTGGAAGCATTTAACCCTTCACTTGTTCCTTTCCAGGACCCTGATGACCGAAGCAAGATGTCAGGGTAAGTGCTTGCTTTTGGATTGTTCTAAGTCTGCCTTCTCCTTTCACACTTAGAAAAGAAACAGCCAGCAACCTGACCCCTCTCATTCTTTGCCCTTCCCATCAGAGTTACTGAAAGCTCTCAGAATTATGGACACAATCCTCCCATGAAGTCTGAAGGACTTCGCCGACCGTCTAGTAAAACTTCTATGCCCCAAAGTCGGCGACTTGTGACTTCTACCCAGTCCAACCCTGATGTGAGTGACCTTCTTAAGTTTATGCTGCCTTCTTTTCCTTAGTCCAAGTAAAGTAAAGGAACATGTCCAAGTTCTTCACTAGAATGACTGTTGGTTAAGTCTTGTTTCTTTGGTCCGGACTTTCTACCTTGTTCCCCACATCTAATCACCATCTTACTATTGCCATAGCCCAGCTTGCCAAATCGCAGGTAAAACTTGAAGTGGCCTTTCTTTCCGCTAGCTCTTGCTTCTTCACACCCTCTGTCTCCCCAGGATATCCTGACCCTGTCTAGCAGCACAGAGAGTGAAGGGGAGAGTGGAATCAGCCGAAAGCCCAATGCTGGTCAGACTTCAGCCACAGCTGTCGACAGTGATGACGTCCAGACCATCTCTTCTGGCTCTGATGGCGATGACTTTGAGGACAAGAAGAACTCCTCTGGTAGTCTGAAAATATTTGGGGAGTAGTAGGAAGAAACAGGAAAGTAGGGAAATTTTTTTCCTCTAGAGATAGGGTTTCTCTGTAGCTTTGGAGGCTGTCCTGGAATTTGCTCTGTAGACCAGGCTGGCCTCAAACTCAGAGATTCGCCTGCCTCTGCCTCCTAAGTGCTGGGATTAAATTAGTCATGTGCCACCACTGACCAGTGGAAAAAATTTTTTAAAGAAGGAAATAATTCAGGAGTTGGGCAGGCAGCCGGGCATTGGTGGTGCATGCCTTTAATCCCAGCACTCAGGAGGCAGAGGCAGGTGGATCTCTGTGAGTTCCAGGACAGCCTCCAAAACAATACAGAGAAACCCTGTCTCGAAAAACCAAAAAAAAAAAAAAAAAGAATTAAAGAGTTGAGCAGGCTTCTCAACTGAGCTAACCTGTTAAACTGATATGTACCCTTTCTTTTCCCAGCACCCCTCCATCTCTTCAGGTCTTTAATTCAGCACATCTACTTAGGCTCTTTCTTATTCTCCAAGACAGGGTTTCTCTGTATAGCCCTGGCTGTTCTGGAATTATCTCTATAGACCAGCTGGCCTCAAACTCAGATCCACCTTTCTCTGCCTCCTGTGTGCTGGGGTTAAAGGCGTGCACCACCCACACCTAACTAATGACTTAAGGTCTAATCCTGAGATCTAGCTCATTGCTATCCCTGAACAGTACTGCAATGAGTGGAATAAAAATGGAGGAAAACTGTGGTGTTGGTGGTAACATTTATGATTCCAGCACATAGAAAAAGTAGGGGGAGAGGAGATCAGAAGTTTGAGAACAGGCTGGGTTAAATGAAAGTGGTAGAATGTCTTATTTATGAGTTGGGATAGCACTAACACACACACCCCTTTTGTTTTGTTTTTGTTTTTTTGTTATTGTTTTGTTTTTTGTTTTTTTCTTTTCAGGTCCAACGAAGCGCCAGGTGGCAGTAAAATCAACCCGAGGCTTTGCTCTTAAATCAACCCATGGGATTGCTGTTAAATCAACCAACATGGCTTCCGTGGACAAGGGGGAGAGTGCACCAGTTCGTAAGAACACCCGCCAGTTCTATGATGGTGAAGAGTCTTGCTACATCATTGATGCCAAACTTGAAGGCAACCTAGGCCGCTACCTCAATGTGAGACTCAGGACCCTTCTTTAAATATTCAGTATAAACCAACCTTTGCTTATGAGTTGGTTACGGTGGCTTTCTTTCAAAACACCTTGTCAGAGTGGCTGTCATCTTTATTCTTACAGCACAGTTGCAGCCCCAACCTGTTTGTCCAGAATGTCTTCGTGGATACTCATGATCTTCGATTCCCTTGGGTGGCCTTCTTTGCCAGCAAGTAAGAGGGTTAATGAGGAACGGATAAATTTCATGGAAATTCGGGGAGGTGGGCACACCTTTTGTGGTCAGGCTCTGACCCCAAGTGCCTGTGTTACTTAGCTGCCTGTATTACCACATCCCCATCCTCCCTCTTCAGGAGAATCCGGGCTGGAACAGAGCTTACTTGGGACTACAACTACGAAGTGGGCAGTGTGGAAGGCAAAGAGCTGCTGTGCTGCTGTGGGGCCATTGAGTGTAGAGGACGCCTTCTTTAGAGGGAAGCCGTGACCATCGCACCCCGGAACCGGGTCCTCCGGACGGTTGGACTCCGACCCCAAGTCTCTGGCCTCGCTTCTCTCCAGTCCCTAGTACACAGAAATGGGGATTCTGGATCAGGCCTCTGCCAGTGTGGTGCTAGCAGGCACTAGGGTGGGTAGACATGACCACTCTAGCTCCAGCCTGAGGTCCTTCTCAAATATATTTGTTCATGTGTTCTTGATTCACATGGACTGTATGTCTGCCATCCCTGGTTTGTATAGTTTCTTGAAAGTCTTTTAACAAGATGATAAAATAGAGATTGTGATTTGTTTTCTTTTATAAGTCCTTGTCTTAATCTCCCAGGGAGATGTCATTTTCCCAGTGGGCAGCTGTCACTACTAGTCTTATGCCTCTATTTTATTTGTCCTACACGACTTAGGAAGCCCTAAGTTCTTAATAGTCTGACACGCTGTCATGTTTTACTTAACCTTTAATATACTTTAATTAAAAAAAAACCATTAACAGTACATTTTGGTCTGAAATGGTCCCTTGCCGAAATGCCAGGTCCTAGCTGTAGTTCTGGCTTTATAACTGAAACCCCAAATGTTCAATAAATAACAACTAGTTGCCGTTCTACTCCACTCCAGCTTGTCTTAGCTGAAGGTAGGGGAAAGGAAGGCCAGAGAAAGGAGGCGGTGAGATCCTAGAACCATGGTCCCTGGGGTAGGGTGAGGGGCCTGTATACCCTCCTTCACTTGTTTTTTAAGGAGGAGAAAAAGTTAAAAGCAGCTCAGCTTTCATTTTTGGCCTGGGAGCTTAGAAAGGTGGAACCTTGGTCCAGCTTTGGCAGAGTGAGACCCAGAGATGGGACAGTAAGGCACAACCCTGGCTTGAAGTCAGGGAGTCAAAGGCAAACAGCTAGCTCAGAATTCTTAAGAATGAGGAATGTGAGTTATAACTCTTGAGTTACAACTCAGAACTGAGAAAGGGTAGCTTGGAGAGGGAAATAAGACTATCCCCTCTCTAGCAGAAGATATAACCAACCTTCTGTCTACCAGAGGATAGGCTGGTTAGAGTTTGGTTTAAAGGCAGCTGGGTGACAAAAGTAAGGAGAGTTAATGTAGACTCTTCCTTATGTCCTTTTCCCCAGTGCTCACATGTCCCTATAAAGGGAAGGTTGGCTAGTTTCTTGGCTTCGTGTATTAATGTGGGAGGCAGCTAGGACAATGGTTCAGTCATTCTTAGGATGATTGTTATTGAGGATGGGGTGGCCATTAGCTAGGAGCTGGCTTTTTGCTCCTGCCCCAGCTGCAGCCTCCTCCCCCTCTGAGCTCTCCGTTTCTTCTCGGTCACTTCGTTCATCTTCTATCACCTGTGGAAAGGATAAAAAGGATTATGCATCTTCCAATTCCCAAGGGCTACCGCTAAGTTTCCCGCTAACAACCAGAACCTCACGCTGTTTCAAAAGAGTTACTGGCATGACAAGGAGTTAGTTTAGGGAGTTCTGGAGATGAGAGTGGCGAGGCCTACAAATGGGAGGTAGAGCCTTCCTCACCTTTCCAGTTATGAACTTGTAGGCCATGCGCAAAATGAAGTAGGCCCAGAAGACTTGCAGCATCTGTAGCACAGCCATCATGAAGTTGAAGAAGTAATAGCCAAAGAAGGCGGGGTAGAGCTCCAGTGGGTATATCAGCGTGCAGTGTAGGATCCTGAGGATTCAAGGGAAAGTGGTAAGCATGGGCACGGGGGAAAGACTGAGGTAGCTGTGTAAGAAAGGCCAAAAGAGCCAGCTACCAACTCACCAGAAAGGCATGATAACCAGTCGAGTAATGATGAAAACAATGGCGAAGACAATGAAGATGTTATTGCACGTGTTTTTCCATCCCGCGTAGTTAAACATCTTGGCAGACTGCATAAATAGTCCCATCTGTCATCATGGGCTCCTGATTCTCCCATGTATATTAATGTATGTGTGTGATTAGCAGCACTGACTATGCCCTCCCACCTCGGTACCAGGAATGTCGATAGCATCTTCAACCCCCTGGGAGACTAGAGGGACAAATGAACTTGCACTGGGGTCTCTACTGTGAGGAAGCCTAACCTCCAGCAGATAGTCAGAAGAGTCATGCAGAGCCATGATGAGAGTCCCTGCTCGGACATAATTGGCAAACCAGGAGAAGCTGAGGAGAATGATGGTGGCCACGTGGTGGATGATCTGCTCCTTAAAATCCTGCAGGAAAGATGCAGGCATCAAGGAACTCCCCTGTTCTGTTGTTCCCCATACCTCAGAAGCTCTGTCCATCTGAGAAGTCAAAGGAAGGGATGTCATCCTAGGGCCTCATCTGGTCCTTGGACTCACCTTTCGCTTGACGTCGGAGGCAATGCTGAAGAGTAGGGACCAGTAGAAGGAGAGTTCAATTATGTAGTACCAGTACTGAGAAGGGACGATACTCTGGGAGAGGAAAGAAGTGTGAGGGGTCCCAGAACAACTAGCTCTAAGGGCTCACCTCCAAACCTGACCCTTCTAGCCCTTCAAGATAGTCTTTGTTCTGAGACTGATTGCTGTGCCGTGATTTCAAGACACTTAATAATGGGGTATTTTGTGCCACAGACCCCTTCTCTCATACCTGTATGGGATATCCCTCCCAAACTTTCCTCAAGTCATAGAACCAGGGTTTCTGCAAAGAGAGATTAAGGAAAGGTCTCAAATCCTATGGCCTTACCCCATCTTGACAAAGGCTGTGTTCCCATGTCCCAGTACTCACATCCACAATGACAGCCATGCCAGCAACAAAGGCAATTAGGTAAAATGTGAATCTCCAACTGCAAGAGGAAGCAGATCCGGCTAGGTGAGAGGATCAGCAGCTTCCCACTGCCCCCAGACACCCTCAAGGTACCCTGACCGCTCCTGAACACCACAGCCCTCTCCTCCCAGCAAGAGACAACAGAACTATGCCACCCAGCTTCGCCTGCCCCAGCTTCCCCCACCTGGATTCTCGGAACTTCTTGAGAAGGCTGGGCCTGTCCTGGTTGCGGCGGCGGCGGAACCAGCGTTCTATCTGGCGGCCAGAGAGCCCACTCTGCCGTGAAAGAAGCTCAACCTCCACCTAAGCATAGTGAGGCCATTACATTCAGCCTTCAAATCAGCAGGGCTCCACTCCACCCAGCCTCCCGGTAATCTAAGCCAGGCCCACACCCTGCCAGGTCTTCACCTTCCAGGGCTAGCATTCAAACTATGGCCTACCCAAACCCGGCAACTCTCGGGCCATCTGCAGCTCATACCTTCTTGGGCTGCTTGCCGTTGGTCTGGTAGAAATGTTCTAAGGTGGCATTGGGAGGTGCTCGCAGTCGGGTTTTCTCCTTAACATTGAGGAAGGCAGCCAGGGGTGTCGCCACATAACTGGGGAAGGGACATGAGACTGAGGTGTCTGGCTCCCGTGGAGCACTCCTAACCCCTAAACGGGGAGGAGAAAGTACCACAAGACAGGCATCTTCATTCTGGGCCTCAGTTTCCCAAGTTTCCTGGCAACCCTTTTGCTCTAGCCTGCCGGGCTGCCCATAGCTGACAAAGCTGTCTATGTTCACTGTTGACCATTCAAGGAGGCGGGCATGGGATGAGAACAAACAACTATTGAAGGAAAGGCCTGGGGGTGCTGAGCCCTCAGGAAGACAATGGTGCCCTGGGGGAGGGGGAGCAGTCAGTAGGGACTGGGTGGTCAGAGCACCAGTGTCCAGAACTAAGTATCAAGGGACCAACACGAAATCTGCTTCGTTGGCTGGCAATAGGGGAAGGTGTGAGGGCATACTCACAGCTCAAAGAAGTATCGAACGATGAGAAAGACCAAGGCCAGGGGAAGTGTGATGTAGAGGTCTGAGGCTTTGGCATACACACGTCCATCTCTGTCTTCTAGATCAGCCCAGGTTAAGTTCACAGGCAGCCATAGACGGTCCCACCAGAAGTGGTCATACAAAGTCTGGAGCATCCTAAAGGAAGAAGAGAAGAGAGGGCTGAATGAGAGCTCTGCAGGGAAGAAAAGGAATGAACAATGACTCAAGCCTGGGACTCTGGTTCTGGCTATATGGAATTAATTGGCTTCCTTCACTGACTTGTTTTCCTTATCTGTAATAGGAAAACAGTGGCTTTCAAGTCCCAGCATTTAGAGTTCATGCAACCTCAGGTGACAGATACTGACACCACTCAGGCCTGATCCCCTGCAATAAGTAACCCTCATTTCTTATCAGTCCTATCTTTTGATCCCCTACAATAAATAACCCCCCCAATTTCTTATCAGTCTTATCTTTTGGCTCTCAACCTGGAGGACAAGCAAGACTCAGTCAGAGAAGTAGTCAACAGTCAGGGAAGTCATCCAGGTTGAGATGGTGGTGCACACCCCCAGAGGCAATCCACAGTGATTCAGGACAGCCAAGGCTACAGTCAGACCCTTAACAGGCCAGTAGATCTATAGAAGAAAATGAAACAGAAGTACCATCCCCAAAGAGTAGTGAGTATCGGCCAAGTCATTGGGTCTGGTCTCCACTCGTGAGGCAGAGAGTGATCTGCAAGCCTCTTTTCGGGTGGGACTTGCGGGGACAGACCCAGTGTCAGGACTGAGGACGGTCTGGACAGCAAATCAAGACACTTGGTAAAACTGACCTATTTTCCTTCATCCTTTTTTTCCTTTATTCTTTGAGACAGCACTTATGCAGTACAGGTTGGTTTCAAACTCATGATCCTACTGCCTCAGCAACTCACGTGCTGAAATGACAGGATCCTCACCATGACAGTGGTGGCACACACCTTTAAATCCAGCACTGGGGAGGCAGAGGCAGGAGGATCTCTGTGAGTTTGAGGTCAGCCTGGTCTACAGAGCAAATCCCAGGACAGCCTCCAAAGCTACAGAGGAACCCTGTCTCAGAAAACCAAACCAAACAACAAAGCCTGTCTGCAAAGGAACCAGTCAACACCCTCCAGCCAGGAAAGAGCTGCTGCCTTCAACTTCCCTCCTCCCCCCGCCCCCAGGAAGATGAAGTACAGTGTGGCACTAACCACTGGGGTCCAGAGGAATTAGGGGACAGTCTTTGGCAGCTGCTCAGGGTTGAGAAGCAACCAGATGTCCCTGAAGGGTCACTGATGAGCACATCACTGGGAAATTCTAAGACTTGCAGAGTAGGGGAGCCAAGAAGTCCTCCAGGCTCCCCACCTCTCGCTCTCCTATGAACAGAGAAAAGAGGTGGCAGCATCAGACTGACCTATAGAGTGGAAGCTGTGACAGAAGGAAGGTGGTCTCCTCCCAGGTGGAGAGGAGAGAGCAGGAGCTGGAGGGCCAGGGTGAGCAGAGACACCAGGCACTGAATTTCAGCTGAGTTGCTGAAGGAGGCTGACACCTCAGCCCACAGCTGAGCTGGGCCGTCCTCTGGGGGCTGGGCTCTCTCAAAAGCTCCGCCTCCACCCTCCACAGAAGCACTTGCGAAATCCCTCTCGGCCTGTCACGGGTCAGTCAGTATTCCAGCTCGAGGACTTTACCCTCTTGTCCCCACTCCTGGTCACCGCTCTTGTGGATGAAATCAGAGGTCAGCTTAGACGGTAAAGGATTTTCAGCTCCACACACCCATTGCACATTCCAGGCCTTGACATGGAGGGCACTGTCCCTTCCCCCTCCACCTTAGCCCGAACAAATATTTAATTTGTTAAAAAGAGATGGGAGCCTCTCAAAGTGAGCAAAATTAAATGTAGCTGCCCACACATGCACACACTCTTCCTAGAGAACGGCAGAAAACTGAGTGGGGAAGGGAAGGGGGCAGGCCAGACTGATGGTGTGCACGCCTCCATCTCTTCCTTCCCACCGTTTGGTTTAACCAGACAGGAGGTGGGAGCCAATACCTGACCTTGTCGTCTGACTACTGTTTCTTAGGGCCTAACTTTTCCTCCAGGGAGACCTAAATTCAGTCATGCAGGCATCCTAGCCTTAGGCCATCCCATCCCATTTAGCAGAATCTTCTTATTAGAGCCTATTGAGGGGTTAAGGATTCAGAGGGCTAGCTAAGGGGCTAGAGGGTGGGTGGAGCCTCTCTCCTGGACTCCAGCAGCAGCATAGGAATGTCTAGTGCCTTTCTAATCCCTAAAAGAAGCTAGGGAGGAATCCCAGTGAGTAAGGCTAAGGGGAGGTACCAACCAGAGCAGCACACCTGTCTCAACCCCAAGACACAGCAGCACCAGACTCCTCCACCCTGTGTGTGAGGACCATTGGGGCTTGCAGACTCCTCCACTCTGTGTGTGAAGACCATGGGGGCTTGCACACCTGCTGGGACCACAGTCCTCCCTTGCTGTGCTGAACTTCCACAGCAGAGACACTGTCCCAGATTCAGCAGGGTCAGGAGTTTTTACAGGAGGGGAAGGGACTGGGATTTCCAGTCAGCCTCTCTTCTGGCAGAACACTGTATGTGTAATAAATAAATAAATAAAATTATTTATTTATTATGAATACAACATCTTGCCTCCATGTATGTCTGCAGGCCAGAAGAGGGCACCAGATTGAATTGTAGATGGTTGTGAGCCATCATGTGGTTGCTGGGAATTGAACACAGGACCTCTGGAAGAGCAAACAGTGCTCTTAACCTCTGAGCCATCTCTCTAGCCCCCAGTCAGCCTCTCTTACACATCTCCCCAGAACCAGTCTGTTCTCTACTGCATCCCTGGCAACGCTTGGCACCAGACACCAAGACGAGCATCACATAAACAAGACATCAGGATGAGAAAGGAAGTCTTCATTTCACCTGCAACTTTTTCCACTCATAAAATTATGCCACCTGCACACACAAAATATATGGTGCATGTGTTCGCCACTTGTCTCCTTTACACATGCTTACCTGCCTCAGAGACAGAAACCACTTGATGAGACACGCTGGAGAGGGGCCAGGATGGCAGGGATTTCACAAGTATCCTATTACTTGAAACTTGAGTGGGTTCTAACTGGTTCCAACCTTTGCTCCAACTGACTGATCTCCCACTCAAAGACCCTCCCAAGCAAATGAAAAGGGGGGAGTCGATGTTGAAAAGAGCTTGCAGACCCAGAGGACAGGAGGGTATAAGTATAGTCTGTAAGACTTCTCAGACTCAATGGGATAACAGTCCTAGTGACTCTGAGTTTCATCTGCAGAGAGGTTTTAAAAAAGAGAGGGTCCTTTGCCGGGCGTTGGTGGCACACGCCTTTAATCCCAGCACTCGGGAGGCAGAGGCAGGCGGATCTCTGTGAGTTCGAGACCAGCCTGGTCTACAGAGTGAGTTCCAGGACAGCCTCCAAAACAATACAGAGAAACTCTGTCTCGAAAAACCAAAAAAAAAAAAAAGAGAGGGTCCCAAGGGCCGTCAGATCTGAGCAACCATAAAATAGACCGAGGCCTGAGTAGCCTTTCTTGTTGAAAACTTTCTTTTCATGCATTAGTAGCTGGTCATGAATTTTCTACAAGGCGAAGAGCAGTGGGTGAAGTCAAAAGATGCGTCACTGCTTCAGGCTACAGCACCAGCCCAAAAGTACGGGTCAGATTCTAGGAAAGATGAGGTTGTGAGGCCTAACAACGTGGTCTCGGGCTTGTCTGAGATGTTTCACAAACTCTTCCCCACCCCCAACCCAAATATGAGTGCGGCCCCCGGAGACGGGGAGAAGCTAGCAGGTTTAAGCGGCAGCTGAGTGACGCTGAAAGGAACCCGTACCGGGTCAGTCTGCCTATGGCTGGTGGAGGGAGGAAAAGGCCCCTCTATCCAGAGCAAATTCTGGCTGGAGGCCCCAGTGAGGAGAAAGGGGTAGGGGACAGCAATAGAGACGAAGATCAATTAATTCCCTACCCCCCTTCCCGCCCCACGCGCGCGTGCCTTGGAAAATAAGCAATGTATGGCCAGGAACAGTGCTGCAGACTTTGGGGCCCCATCACAGGTGCAGTCAACAAACTTTCATTCAAGCTAGTCACTTCGGCTCTGGGATGAGACTTCCTCCCCAGCTCTGACACAAACAGAAGTAACAGCTGCGGGAGGCCTTCCCTAATTCAGTTCTCTGGAAAGACAGCTCACTCCAGACCCCACGATGCTTAGAACTCTGACTGCTGAGGCTGGCAACTCAAAACTCAAGAAAGCAGATCTGGTTGGGATGCTAGGAGCGCCTTAGGCACCAGGAACTCCCAAGCTCGGGCCAAAGATGAATGTCGCGCACCTGCAGGGAGCAAACTAGCTCGAGGGCCTCTGAGCCTGTAATTAGCAAGTTACCGCCCGTAAAGCTAGTTTCACCAGCTGCTCCCAGAGCAGGCCACGCACACCCCATAACGGTACAGGAGTCTTAGCCCTTTGGGGCCAGGACAGACACGTTGAGTGTGCTCCTTCCTGTTTCCCGTCCGGCACATGGACGCTCTAACCTCTCTCCTGGGATGGGCAAAAGGGGCCCAGCAGCAGGGGCCGCCACCGCTCCTCCTTGGCCTCCGCACACAGGCCCCAGGACGCACGCGGCCCACCGAGGGGTTCTCGCGCCAGAGGTCTGCGATGGATCCACTCCCAACCAAGGGGCGTCTGTAGCTCGGGTCCCCGGCGAGCGTCGGGCTCCGGCCCCTACCTGTTGCCCCACAGGCCTTCTCCCCGCCGAGGCCCCGGCCCGGCGCGCCTGCTCCCGCAGGGCTCGGCCCGCCCTCCGGCAGGCCGGCCGCCATGAGCCGGCCCGAGTCCCCGCCGCCTTCGAGTTGCGCCCCGAGGCCCCGCGCCTGCCGCCGCCCCGCGGCCCCCGCTGTCCCCGCGCGCAGCACACGGACTCACTCGGCGGCCGATGCAGAGCTGGCCGGCCCGGGCGCCGCTGCTCCGTCTCCTCTCCGAGCGCCCGGCCGGTGCGCACTGGCTGAGCCGGGTCCTCTCCTCCCCCTTCCGCCGCCCGCGGCTCCCTCCCTCCTTCCTCCTCTGCCCGCCGAGCCCCGGCGAGCCCAGGCCGAGCCCAGCGGCGGAGGGAAGGCCCCGCGCGCGGAGCTGAGCTGGGCGTGGGCCGCGGCCGGGCGGGGCCGGGTCGCCGGGTCCCCGGAACCCGCGCTGCGCCTGTGGAACCCCGACGGGACGGATGGCTCGCGCTCTGCCGGCCGCTCGGGCCTCTTGGTGGCGCCGAGGCGGCCCACCCGGACTCGGTGAAGGGCCCTCAGGTGCCTGAGGACACCGCTCGGAGCGGTCTGCCTCGGCCCCACCCCGCCGCCGTGGTGCGGTCGGCGACCTCAAGCCGGCGTGCAGCCCTCAGTTCCTCCCCGGGTTGGTTGCCACAATTCCCGCGTCCGGCCGCACTAGGGCGCAGCCCAGAGCCCATCCAGGTACAGCCGATGAAAGCCTCGCGCAGACCCCGAGGCTCCCCACAGTGACTTCCACAGGACCCAAGTCCTGCATGCTGATCGGAGCCCGGACAGAGCTACTTGCAACCTTTAGTAAAATTGGCTTGGGGGGGCTGGAGAGATGGCTCTGAGATTAAGAGCACTGACTGCTCTTCCAGAGGTCTTGAGTTCAATTCCCAGCAACCACATGGTGGCTGACAACCATCTACAATTCAATCTGGTGTATATGTAATAAATAAATAAATCTTTAAAAAAAGTGGCTTCGGTCTCCAGTCTACACACCATACTTATCCGTGATCAATTTCATGCAAGACCGTATTATCCCTTAAGTAGCCTCATAATATCCGTGCTTCAAGAAGAGAGCAGCCTTGACTCATGGTGCACAGGACTTGAGTAAGTTGTATTTGAGGGCCTATTTACAGGGAGACCTACAGCTTCTTCCATGTAAGAAATAGTTTTAAAACGACCTCGCAGCTGGGCGGTGGTAACACACGCCTATAATCCCAGGAGGATCTCTGAGTTCAAAACTGGTCTACAGAGCAAGTTCCAGGACAGCTTCCAACGCTACAGAGAAACCCTGTCCGGTAAAAACAAAACAAACAAAACTACCTGATCAGGTCTGGTGGCTCATTCCCAAGCAAGGTCCCAGCATTTGGGAGACTGAAGCAAGGGTATCATTTTTTACCTTCATGAAATAGTATTTTTTAAGTATTTATTGTATTGTATGAGTGTTTTGCCCGCATGTATGTGTACCGTGCATGTCCGGTGCCCAAGGAGGTTGGCAGAGGACATCAGATTCCCTGGAACTGGAGTTGTGAGAGGCCATGTGGGTGCTGGTGATCAAACCTGCGCCTCTACAAGAACCTCCACTACACTCTCATGGTGCAGGAGTTTCAAGGAAGATGGCGCTAAGGCTAAGAGCCAGATGGTTTTTCTGTTGTTTTGGTTTTTGGCTTTTTTTGGTTTTTCGAGACAGGGTTTCTCTGTGGCTTTGGAGGCTGTGCTGGAAGTCACTCTTGTAGACCAGGATGGCCTCGAACTCAGAGATCCGCCTGCCTCTGCCTCCCGAGTGCTGGGATTAAAGGCGTGCGCCACCGGCTTACTTTATTTTATGTATATTGCTGTTTTGCTTGCATGTATGTCTGTGAACTATGTTCATGCAGTACTCTTCGAGGCTAGAAGAGGGTGATATGCATACATACATACATACATACATACATACAACTGGTGTTACAGATGATTGGGAGGCATCACGTGGGTGCTGAGAATTGAACCCAAGACCTCTGCAAGAGCAACAAGTGCTCTTAATTCCTGAGTCAACTCTCCAGCCCCCAGATATTTATTCCTGATTTTTTTTTTTGAGACAGTGTCTCACTATGTGGCCCAGCCTGGTTTCAAACTCCAAGCCAGTCGTCCTGAGTTCTAGATTTACAGGTCTGAAGTATTACACTCAGCCCCACCAGACTTCTTAAACGGTTCCTCTGGATAGATGGAGTTAAACTTAAAAGCAAGAAGGAGAGAGGGAAAAGTAGGGGGAAGAAAACAATAGGGAGTTTTGTGGGCAAAGGCTAGTTACTGCGGGCCTGAGAAACGGAGATAAGGAGGCAGACAAAGGGAAAATGGGAAAAGGAGAACTTGGCCTCAGCCAGCACCAGGATGGTATCCTCACACACCCTCCCCTGGGTGGACCAGTAGATTAGAATCACCCCACCTTTCCAGCCCATCCCCCGCCCTCAGCTGACATTGCCATGCCCACAGTGCCCCAAGTGTGCCCTGCTTGTGGTGACTCACTTCCTCTAAGCAGGCTGCTGAGGTGTGTGTCCCAGAGCAGTGTCCCTCCCGGCCATGAGGCCAGAGTTTAGCTATCTGAACCGGCTCCTGGCAAGACACACACATGGACACTAATGGCAAAAATGAAATCTTTCTAACTGTAACTGGCCCAAAAAACACAGAGGCCTGACCAGCACAGTGACACACTGTTAACCCAAGCTGAGGCAGTAGATCTTTGGGAATTTGA